TCATTATATTATTCTATACACCGTAATGTCCAACAACTTCATTGTTGCTTGGGGATAAAGCTGACAAAACACTGAGATGTGACCAGATCGATTTCACAATGACCACAAAATGTTGATGGAGGGGGCTACTCATTTTACTATTGGGCCAGTTGTTACAAAGACATAATGAAAGATGGAAATGTATTGTGCAGGACAGAACTTGCTGGTGACAGTCTGACTTGTCTGGGAGGCTTAGTCTGTAAAAGTGTCTCCATGTAGCTATAGTAGACATAAAACAGCTGTCTGATTCAGAGAATGATAGCAAGTCAGGGTCTGGAAGAGGCATAATCTCCGCATGCCAAGTCCTGGCCTGTCTCTAGAGGGTTTCTGATGAAGCATTCATTATGAACTCTTTACTTACCAGGTAGGCTACACTGTGTCTTACTGATGAAAATACGCCTAGGAATTTAACTGAAATAGTGAGAGAACTGCTGAAATACATATATTTACATTTTACATTTTAGTCATTTAGCAGACGCTCTTATCCAGTAAGTGAGTGCATACATTTTTTTTTCATACTGGTCCCCCATGTGAAACGAAACCACAACCCTGGGGTTGCAAACGCCATGCTCTATCAAATGAGCGGACACAGGACTATATTACGTATAACAAGAGACATTCCCTCTCTACACCTATGCAGACTCCTCTTTCTCTCTCACACACACACAGAAGAGCCTACCCAACTGATGTTATCAACACACACTACATACTTTTCACTTAGAGTATGTAGTGCCATCTAGCCAGGGTGTGTTCATTCTATGTGGTTTATTTCTATGTTGGGGGTTCTGGTTTGTTGTTTTCTATGTTTGCCTTAGTGACTCCCAATCAGAGGCAACGAGTGTCAGCTGTTGGCTGGTTGTCTCTGATTGGGAGCCATATTTAACTGTCTGTTTTTCACTTTGTGTTTGTGGGTTTTTGTTCCGTGTTCGGTCATTGTCACCGTGGACGTTACGAGTCGTTTGTTGTTTTGGTCGTGCTTTAATTTAATAAAGTAAACATGTTCATTCATCACGCTGCGCATTGGTCTCTCCCTGACGATCGTGACAGAAAAACCCACCAAAACTGGACCAAGCAGCGTGTCCAGGAGCCATCGCCAGGGGAATCGCTTGCAGATCTCCGTGGCAACCTCGACTGGGTCCAGCCTTGTAAAGAGCAGAGTGGATGGACTTGGGAACAGTGGAGGAAGAGTCTCGACTGGGTCAAGCCTAATGAAGAGCAGAATGGCTGGAATTGGGGGCAGAAGAGCGAGAGTTGGGCGAGAACGATAGAGGCCTGGCCCACGGGGAGGAGAGACCCCCAGAACATTTTTAGGGGGGGGCTCACGACGTCGGGGCAGCAGGAGGCCGCGATAGAGCGGTCCAGCGGGTTGGCAGAGGAGGCCGCCAGGTTACGGGGGCCACTGGTCGAAGAGGGGATGGAAGGTGGAGAGGCACGGCGAGAGGTACTGGGGTGTGTTACCAGTCCGGTCTGGCCCGTTCCAGATCCCGGTGTAGGGCCAGTGGTGTGTGTCCCCAGTACGGTCCGGTCTGTTCCTGCTCCCCGCACCAAGTCAGTGGTGCGCTTCGTCAGCCCGGCTCGGCCCGTTCCTGCTCCCCGCACCAAGTCAGTGGTGCGCTTCGTCAGCCCGGCTCGGCCCGTTCCTGCTCCCCGCACCAAGTCAGTGGTGCGCTTCGTCAGCCCAGTCCGGCCTGTCCCTACTCCACGCACCAAGCCTATGGTGTGCGTCGTCAGCCTGGTAAGGCCCGTTCCTCCTCCACGCACCAAGCCAGTGGTGTGCTTCGTCAGTCCGGTGAGGCCCGTTCCGGCTCCACGCACCAAGCCAGGGGTGCGCATCGTCAGCCCGGTCCGGCCCGTTGCTGCTCCACGCACCAAGCCAGGGGTGCGCATCGTCAGCCCGGTCCGGCCCGTTGCTGCTCCACACACCAAGCCAGGGGTGCGAGTCATCAGTCCGGTGAGGCCCGTTCCGGCTCCACGCACCAAGCCAGGGGTGCGTATCGTCAGCCCGGTCCGGCCCGTTGCTGCTCCACGCACCAAGCCAGGGGTGCGCATCGACAGCCAGGTCCGGTCCTTTCCTGCCTCACGCACCAAGCCTGGGGTGCGCGTCGTCAGTCCGGCACAACCCGTGCCTGGGTCATCGGTGCCAAATCAGGTACCGCTTTATTGCTCCACAACGGAGCTGAAGCTAGCCGCTCCTGCTACGTCCAGGTCAGCTCCAGCCAGCGGGGCCAGACCGGACCAGGGGCGCTATGGGGGGTTTATTGGAGGGTGGTGGGCAAGCCCGGAGCCAGAACCGCCGCCGAGGAGGAGTGCCCACCCAGCCCTCCCCTATTTTTCTCTGGTTGAGGCGCGGTCGCAGTCCGCGCCTTTAGGGGGGGGGTACTGTCACACCCTGGCTCTGGGACTCTATATGTTGAGCCAGGGTGTGTTCATTCTATGTGGTTTATTTCTATGTTGGGGGTTCTGGTTTGTTGTTTTCTATGTTTGCCTAGTGACTCCAATCAGAGGCAACGATGCACTGTTGGCTGTGCTCTGATGGAGCCATATTTACTGTTTTCACTTTGTTTGTGGTTTTTGTTCTGTTCGTCATGTCACATACATCGTTTGTTGTTTGGTCGTGCTTTAATTAATAAGTAACATGTTCATTCACAAGCTGACGATTGGTCTCTCCCTGACGATCGTGACAGATACACTATGTGGACACCCCTTCAAATAAGTGGATTTGTCTATTTCAGCCACACACGTTGCTGACAGGTGTATAGAATCGAGCACACCGCCATACAATCTCCATAGACAAACATTGGCAGTAGAATGGCTTTACTGAAGAGCTCAGTGACTTTCAACGTGGCACCATCATAGGATGCCACCTTTCCAACAAGTCAGTTCATCACATTTCTGCCCTGCTAGAGCTGCCCCGATCAACTGTAAGTGCTGTTATTGTGAAGTGGAAACGTTTAGGAGCAACAACGGCTCAACCACGAAGTGGTAGGCCACACAAGCTCACAGAATGGGACTGCCGAGTGCTAAAGCACGTAGCGCGTAAAAATCGTCTGTCACTATCGAGTTCCAAACTGCCTCTGGAAGCAACATCAGAACAAGAACTGTTCGTGGCCGAGCAGCCGCACACAAGCTTAAGATCACCATGCGCAATGCCAAGCGTCGGCTGGCAAGCGTCGGCTGGAGTGGTGTAATGCTCGCCGCCATTGGACTCTGAAGCAGTGGAAATGCGTTCTCTGGAGTGTTTAATCATGCTTCACCATCTGGCAGTCTGACGGATGAATCTGGGTTTGGCGGATGCCAGGAGAACTCTACCTGCCCGAATGCATAGTGCCAACTGTAAAGGTTGGTGGAGGAGGAATAATGATCCGGGGCTGTTTTTCATGGTTCGGCTTGGCCCCTTAGTTCCAGTGAAGGGAAATCTTAATGCTACAGCATACAATGACATTCTAGACGATTCTGTGCTTCCAACTTTGTGGCAACAGTTTGGGAAAGGCCCTTTCCTGTTTCAGCATGACAATGCCCCCGTGCACAAAGCGAGGTCTATACAGAAATGGTTTGTCAAGATCGGTGTGGAAGAACTTGACTGGCCTGTACAGAGCCCTGACCTCAACCCCATCGAACACCTTTGGGATGAATTGGAATGCCAACTGCGAGCCAGGCCTAATCGCCCAACATCAGTGCCCAACCTCACTAATGTTCTTGTGGCTGAATGGAAGCAAGTCCCCGCAACAATGTCCAACATCTAGTGGAAAGCCTTCCCAGAAGAGTGGAGGCTGTTATAGCAGCAAAGGGGGGACCAACTCCATATTAATGCCCATGATTTTGGAATGAGATGTTTGACGAGCAGGTGTCAACATACACTACATGATGTTACAAATTCCAATTTGTAGTGGCTAACGTTAGCTAGGTGGCTAACGCTAACGTTAACTAGGTGGCTAAGTTTAGCTAGGCTAGGGGTTAGGGTTAAGGTTAGGGGAAGGGTTAGCTAACATGCTAAGTAGTTTCAAAGTAGCTAAAAATCAGTAAGTAATTAGCTAAAATGCTAAAGTTGTCCATGATGAGATTCAAATACGCAACCTTTGGGTTCCTAGATGTTGGTGTTATACGCCCACCCATCCAACCCGACTAAGTAACCTTCTGTTTTATGTAACCATACCAAATGTAACATATCATACTAATTTGGGTGTCCTGGATTTACATTTACTATGTTACGTCTAATCTATGAGACCAAGCTGCCTCTGTCTACACATCCTGACTGTGTAAATTACCATATTATTTTATATTCTGTTACTCATAGCAATTCAGTGATTAAACACATTTGTGAACAGACAAACACTTTTGATTTAATCAAATATTCTAAGAAGCTACACTAAAGTTCACACATTCGAAAACTACCCTTCAGGATAGAAAGTCTACCAAGCGCAGACCGCATTATTTCATATGCCTCAAAATTGCTTAGTCAGTCTTTACTAATCTGACGGGTCCTTAAGTTTGAGGGTTGATATTGGCATTCAGAGGGCACATTGTTCCTTGGTTGCTAGGAAGTTCATGTTTCTCTTCAACAGAGTCTCCTGCTGTGCTCAGCATTTTGCATATTCTTTATGGAAAGTCTCCAGACCCTGGTCACTTAGCAACCACTTTTATTGTATTGAACACTTTCTCCCTGTGTTGTCCCTTACATAACATCAAACAGTGCAACCTGAACTTGAAACTTGCAGTGATTTCTGAACATGTGTCTTCTGTAACAGATTGGTGTCTTTGAAATTCCAGGTAAGAGTAAAATGATTTATCCCTGGTCAACGCCGCTTGATGTTTTTAAAAGAGGTTGAAGAAAAATGTGTGTAATGTTAGACACTTGAGAGTTTTCTACTTCCTTATTGTTGAGAAGTTCAATAGCCCTTCATTTTTTTTCTTTGCACCTGAACAGGTTATCGTTCATTCAATTTCAGGACTGAGATATCACAATGACCTCTAACAGTTATTTGGATCCTTCAACATCAGTTTATTTTAATAAAAAGACAGTATTTTCTGCCAACCTGAACTTGGCCACCATAAGAAGCAAAGGCTTTATCCGTCCTCATTCTCCACATCAGGTTGATCCATGGAACTTGAAGCCACCAGATTTCTCTCCTAAACTCTACACATCTCTGAGTGTCCCTCGAAGGAAGAACACAAAAAATACACACCAACATTTACTGTCACTTGCCTCCAGTGAGACAGCCTTCAGAGTGGACAGAGTTACCCCAAACATTCTACTTACCGAGATTGACCAGAATAAGAAAGCCTTGCCAAAGTTCAGTACATCATACAGACCTCCTGGCTCTTTAGAATCCAAGCTGATGTTCGTTAAAACAGGGAAATACCCTCCTGTGACCTACAAGAACCCTAAACCACATAACTTTAGACCGGTATGGTGCTGGAACATAACACCTTCCTTAACATGTTCATTGTGATTTCTATTAATGGTACAAAATACTGGTACTAAATTCTTGCCGTGTATGATTCTAACACAAGATGGCAACAAATATATTGAAAAATATTTTGCTCTGAAATATTTCAATTCAGCTTGCTGATGACATGCCAAATATAGTTACTGCAGCTGAAAGGGATCCTGGTCACTTGAACTTCAAATCTCAGCACCTGAGTATAAGTAAGTCAGCTTTCCTGGATATTGGTGTGTAGACACTGCTCTATTAGTGTAATTAGACAATTTCCTAAGCATCATCCATTTATCATTTGAAAGCTATGTCCATGGCCTTTTATCAAAACTATGCCTACATTACACTGATGTTGCACAGAAAACTCAGCAATATCCTGCCGACTGTGACACTGGTTTTCATTCTACTCCAGTTAGGGGCACCAGATCGGACACAGACATTTACTCAAGGGAACCTTTGGGGAAGATGGACACCTATAAGCCAACAGAGCCCAGATGGGAGGCCAGGCTCACACTCCCTAAATTGCCATGGCCCTCAAAATCTGCCTCCTACACTGTGAGTGGGCTGGTTTATACCCAGCCTGGCTATAGGCCCCACACCATTTTAATTCAATGCTTTCATGTCTGCTTCAGGCCATTTCAGTAGCGTGAGTGTTGAATTGGTCAGTTACCATGTTATTATGCTGTTAAACCCAAAAGTGCTAAAACAAAACGATTTCCCCGCCCGCCACTGTTTTGGTAAAAAGCTTAGGGTTGGGGCTGGAGAAATGTAACCACTCTTAAATTCATAGACAGAGATATGGATATCAAGGACTGACCATCCATGATATCAAAATTATTGTTTTAACTATATGTTTTAAAGCTATACAGTGTAGGGTCATCTTTAAGCCATTCAAAAGCCTAGAGCATAAGGCAAACCCATAATAAATATAGTATATTCTGCGTCAAGTTTCTACTGATATACATTTTCTGAAATATTTTCTTCTTCTCAGAGACACAGGCACAGACGCGGAGTGTACAGTGCTTTCATGGACAGAGTAGAGGAGAAGATCTCCAGCTCTTGGAAAACTGGCTGACACTTTGATCTCCTAGGTCGTCTATGGAGTCCACAGCTGTGCAGTGATAAGTGCATTGGCTCCCCTAAAATGTCCAGTATGTTAAACCAAACAATATGTTCTAATCTGGGTGTGTGAAAGGCATGGCTGAAATATTTGCATTCACAGAAAGGAATCTTGCAGGCTATAGCCTAATGAAAATACTTCAAGGTATCATGAAAATACAATAATTGTAGGCTAGACTATAGAGTTCATTGCAAAACAATTGCCCTTGCCATGACTCTTTTTGAAAGATATGTCAGTTTTTAAAAATCTAGGCCTAATAGGAATCTATTCTCTCAGACAATAGGCAACAAAGATAATCCCAGTAACTGGAAAATGTAAACAATGTGTGTTATTACAATGCCATTGAAACTCATTTTTAAAATGTAGGCCTATATGCTATTAAAGTGGACAATTGGAAAGCAGCTAATCTCGGTTAATCCAGAACTAATGTCTTGAGTAATTGGTCAGAGGCTCAATTAAATTATGGGTCCATACGTGAGGGAGGGAGAAGGGAACAAAGAGCTCCACCCTCTCTCTTTGCAAATTAGGGGCAAGTCTATAGGGCAAATGATCCTTCCCCTTTCCGAAATTCTAAAGCACCGGAACTAATGCTGCTCTTTATCTCACACATCCCGTTGTATCATGACAGATCTATGGGTACCATTTATGTTTATGTAGTCTGTCCACGAGAGATTAGAGAGCAGCCAAACTAATTTCGGAACCCAGAACCAAATTATTGCAAATGTTTGTTCATGTTACTAGCGATTACATTTACATTTTAGTCATTTAGCAGACGCTCTTATCCAGAGCGACTTACAGTTAGTGAATACATATTTTTTTATACTGGCCCCGCGTGGGAATCGAACCCACAACCCTGGCGTTGCAAACGCCATGCTCTATCAACTGAGCTACATCCCTGCCGGCCATTCCCTCCCCTACCCTGGACGACGCTGGGCCAATTGTGCGCCGCCCATGAGTCTCCCGGTCGCGGCCGGCTGCGACAGAGCCTGGATTACAAGCACATCCCTATTGCTAAACATGCCCCACATTTGTAGGATATATACAAATTCACATTTGAGAAAAAAGTTATGTATATTTAGAAGTTGTAGCCTACACATTGTATTCCTGACCTGGGGGGTATACTACAAATCATGATCAATTATTTCGCCAGCTAACTTTTATAAGCAACAATAAATAAATTGGTTTTATGGTTCATTAAAAAAGCTAAATTTAGATATGTATTTTCGTTTGTTAAATCAATTAGACCATGACCATGTCAAGCTTATCTTTCTACAAAATACAAAAAATATCCGAATATTTAGACAAGTTAGCTGGCTAACTCCATAATCGTGTTTTGTAGTATACCCACAGAGTTTCTAAACCTTGTTATAAACTAGGTGGTTCGAACCCTGAACGCCGATTGGCTGAAAGCGATGGTATATATTTTTCCTGTTGTAATTACGTTGGTAACCAGTTTATAAAAGCAATAAGGCACCTTGGTGGTTTGTGGTATATGGTCAATATACCACGGCTAACTGCTGAATCCAGGCACTCGGCAGGTAGCCTAGCGGTTAAGAGAGTCAGGCCAAATATTGAAAGGTCGCTGGTTTAAATCCCCAAACTCACTGGGTAACAAAAATGAACGGTCAATGTGCCCTTGAGCTAGGCACTTAACCCTAATTGCTCCTGTAAGTTGCTCTGGCCAAGAGTCTCTAGTAAAATGTAAAAATGTAAGATGTTGCGTCATGCTTAAGAACATCCCTTAGCTGTGGTACATTGGCCATATATCCCTCTGCACCAGAGACTATGGATATACTGACAAGATACAAGTCTCTCTGCCCTAACAAAACCTTTGTCGGCACGGCGGGCTGTCTAGCTCCCGCCTATCCTTTCTTTGGATTGGTGGATACATCTCATTATTGTAATCCTTTTTTAATATTCGATTAGGGTTGTTGACGTCAACTGCCTGTATTCAATGGAGAGAGATGCAATGTTACTAGCCTCATGCCATGAGTATGCATAGCCATCTCCAATATAAAAAAAAAATTTTTCTCAAAGTTGCCGGGATGTCACGTGTCCTACTTATATCAGTACACTCGTAACAACTTACGAAACTTCTAATCGATCAAATTAGACGCAAATAAGCCATTCATTTTTTTGTTGACTAAATTCGACACTCTCATTGACCTCCATATAAAAACTCCTTGCTTGGTGGGCGAAACAACGCCACCTGCTGTAGGGATACAGATTTTCCGCCGAGTTGGGCCTCTTTCTCTTCCTCTGTCTGTTTGTAAAAAAACTGGTTTGACCAGGATGGCGCGCATTGGTCATGTCCACATTTTACCCACAGGTACTTGTGCTGAATAATTACAATGTTATTTGTTGATGGGTGTTTGCCTAATATCTTTCTTTGTTGAATATGTATGTGATATTATGTCCTGATGTGTTGAAATGTATTATGTATTGGCTAGTGGTATTGAAACTAGTGAAGTATTGATTAGGCTATTTATTTTAATTGAGGAAATACCTGTTTATGTGCATTTTGGATTATCCCAGTGTTAAGGGTTGGGTTATTTTTTTTTACCTTATTAGCCTCTGGTGGCTCGTTTTCGGGAGAGTTCAGATAAACTCAGCTGTGTGAGGAACTGTAGGCACTTTGCCTAGTTTGAAGGCACTCTGCCTAAAAGGAAGCTAACCTTCTGCACCTGTAAATAAATACCACAATTTTGGGCATTTTGCACCTGATTCCGTCTGACTACTCCTTCACAACTCCTTGACAAGACGGCCAGTGCAATCCAAGATCACTGGGACGTCCCTAACCTAACCCATACCTTAACCATTTTAAATGTAAACTTCAATGGGGGGCTATTTATAAAAACATAGGCTAGCGTATTTATTAAAAGTACTATAAAATATATCATATATAATTAACATTATTTCAATAGATACCACAGGATTAGAATTTATACAATTAATCTTGTGATTAATTGTATAAACCTCTCTTTCGTAACGTCTGAGATCCCCAGAGATTGGAAAGCTGCCGCGGTCATCCCCCTCTTCAAAGGGGGTGACACTCTAGATCCAAACTGTTACAGACCTATATCCATCCTGCCCTGCTTTTCGAAAGTTTTTGAAAGCCAAGTTAACAAACAGATCACCGACCATTTCGAATCCTTAGAAAGAATACATTAATGATTAAACATAATAAGTTTGTGCTGTACTGATATAGATTGTTTAACATAACAAGCTGTGATTAATGTGAGGAACCGTTAGGGGGTAGGCTGAGACAGACTTGTGACTCACACACACACACACACACACTGCCTCTTTGTTAAACTGCTCAAGGACATGTGTACTGCTACAATGAAGAAGAACAAACTATGTCTGAGGTTGCTGACTCGAGACAAGTTGTAAAGATAACAACTAATGCCCGGCAACAGTGAAGCGCCAAGGGGCTGGGACCAGCTTGAGCGCCAACGATAGGTTGGGTAAGTTTAAACCACACCCAGCCTCTATTCTGACAGGCCCAGCAGGGAGCGGGAACTATCTCTGTCAGAGTATTTAAAGAAGAACATATAACAATAGCTCAGTTCTCTGTCTGCCCTGCGTGGTGTTTCAGTGGGCCCGTATATACGAACATCATATTTACCATTCAAGTGTTTGCATTAATTAAAATACTAGTCTATTTTAGAAGACGTGTATTGACTTCTTTTTGTTCCTATACCAGATTTGAATTGACGCAATTTGACAATAGCCTTGGTTTCTCAAATGACTGCCTCACCTGGTTCACCAACTACTTCTCAGATAGAGTTCAATGTGTCAAATCGGAGGGCCTGTTGTCTGGACCTATGGCAGTCTCTATGGGGGTGCCACAGGGTTCAATTCTTGGGCCGACTCTTTTCTCCGTGTATATTAATGATGTCGCTCTTGCTGCTGGTGACTCTCAGATCCACCTCTACGCAGACGACACCATTTTGTATACATCTGGCCCTTCATTGGACACTGTGTTAACAAACCTCCAAACGAGCTTCAATGCCATACAACACTCCTTCAGTAGCTTCCAACTGCTCTTAAACACTAGTAAAACTAAATGCATGCTCTTCAATCGAACGCTGCTGGCACCCGCCCACCCGACTAGAATCACTACTCTCGACGGGTCTGACCTAGAGTATGTGGACAACTACAAATACCTAGGTGTCTGGTTAGACTGTAAACTCTCCTTCCAGACTCACATTAAGAATCTCCAATCCAAAGTTAAATCCAGAATCGGCTTCCTATTTCGCAACAAAGTCTCCTTCACTCATGCTGCCAAACATGCCCTAGTAAAACTGACTATCCTACCGATCCTTGACTTCGGCGATGTCATTTACAAAATAGCCTCCAACACTCTACTCAGCAAATTGGATGTAGTCTATCACAGTGCCATCCGTTTTGTCTCCAAAGCCCCATACACTACCCACCACTGTGACTTGTACGCTCTTGTTGGCTGGTCCTCATTACATGTTCGTCGTCAAACCCACTGGCTCCAGGCCATCTATAAATCACTGCTAGGCAAACCTTATTTTAGCTCATTGGTCACCATAGCAACACCCACCCGTAGTATGCGCTCCAGCAGGTATATCTCACTGGTCATCCCCAAAGCCAACACCTCCTTTGGCCGCCATTCCTTCCAGTTCTCTGCTGCCAATGACTGGAACGAAATGCAAAAATCTCTGAAGCTGGAGACTCTTATCTCCCTCACTAACTTTAAGCATCAGTTGTCAGAACACCTTACCGATCACTGCACCTGTACACAGCCCATCTGAAATTAGCCCACCCAACTACCTCATCCCTATATTGTTATTTATTTTGCTAATTTGCACCCCAGTATCTCTATTTGCACATAATCTCTTGCACATCTATCATTCCAGTGTTAATACTAATTGTAATTATTTTGCACTATAGCCTATTTATTGCCTTACCTCCATAACTTGCTACATTAGCACACACTGTATATATATTTTCTGTTGTATTTTTTGACTTTATGTTTTGTTTTACCCCATATCTAACTCTGTGTTGTTTTTATCGCACTGCTTCGCTTTATCTTGGCCAGGTCGCAGTTGTAAATGAGAACTTGTTCTCAACTGGCTTACCTGGTTAAATAAAGGTGAAATAAATACATAAATAAAATAAAATAATTATCATTATAAAATCAGTATGCGTGGGATATATTTTGTACCATTGACCAATCAGTTTGAAAGTAAACAAGATAAGGATGCATCATGGGGCGGCGCTGTTTAGCGTGTGGGCAAACCAAAACCAAGCCACATGCGACACACGAACACTGCAACAAAATAGAAAAGCGGTAAGTTAGAAATTTTTTATAGTTCAATAAGTTGTTCATTTCAATACATTCGTATCACAAACTATTTTGTGACTTTTCTTTTACTTTTTGTTTTCTTTTACTACGACTTTTTACGAATATAGCCTTCAGAATGCTTGGCTTGGCTTGCTATGCTATGTTAATAACCATTCGTCATGATTATGGTTAGACTTTGACCTACTACCAGATACGTTTTTATTATAGGCATGGTTCATGTTGCATATTTACATCTATTGGCTGGAATAATGACGTTACAGCAACAGGTGATGGGCGTGTTTTGAATGGGTACATTATTGATGGGGCTTCCAGTTAAACCAATCGGTTGCTCGAACGTGAGCATAGTTTTACACAAATTGCACTGCAGTATTATTCTATGGGAATGAAACCGTCTAGTAAAAATAATAGAACGCTGCTGATCGCGCGACAGTCATCAGAAGCCCTGGATTGTGAATATTGGATAACATGTTACTGGACCTCGTGAACACAGATCCGCATATTCAGAGTGGATAGATGTAAGTGATGCCCTGCAAGAAAATGTCTGGCTGGACGGAACGGTTGTAGCCTATGATAAAGATTCATGCCGCAATTTGAGAGCCTGGTATCACGTCAAGTGACGTTGCTGGCTGTCAGCATCTGTATGCCTATCGACTTAATTTTAATTTGCGCGCCTATCCTTGGCAATAGGCTTGTGCATTGCTGCCGCCTAAAATTCAAGTGTGTAGCGTACTTTGACAAAGTCCGGTATTTCTGCATGGTATTTTCATTTGAGCCTATTTAATTGAGGGTGTCTAATGAATGTCATGCATTTGGCAGTACTTAGCTCATATGCTGCCCTCAATAAGTGAATAACACCTGGATAACTGATTTGATCACCTATATATATGCTATAGGTATTCTGTGTCGATTTAAGTTTATGTGGTAGACGTATATTTGTGTCCTATCTTTGCTTGGCTAAAGTAATATTTGTTTTGTTTTTAGGTCACTGCTGCAATCCATTTGGAATATAATCAGTGCCAATCATCGTTGTTGGAGAAGTGGACCAACCCTTTTATTCCACCTGTTCTTCCCCACATGAGAAAAGATGGGGAATGGATTATCTGAACCACAGACTTTCCTCTCGAGAATCTCTTTCTTTCAGTCGTTCCATATCGCCATTTTGGGACTGGACTCTGCAGGTAAAACGACTGTCCTGTACAGGTTGCAGTTCAATGAGTTTGTCAACACAGTGCCTACCAAAGGCTTCAACGCAGAAAAGGTCAATGTGTCTTTGGGTGGCCACAGGACGGTGACCTTCCACTTCTGGGACGTAGGTGGTCAAGAGAAGTTGCGTCCATTGTGGAAGTCATACACACGCTGTACCGACGGCATCGTATTCGTGGTGGACTCTGTAGATGCCGAACGCATGGAGGAGGCTAAAACGGAGCTCCATAAGATCGCCAAGACCGGAGACAACCAGGGAGTGCCACTGCTGGTGGTGGCTAACAAGCAAGACTTGAGGCACTCTCTGAGCCTGGCTGAGATTGAAAAGGCGCTAGCTCTGAAGGAACTGAGCCCTGGCACGCCCTGGCACCTGCAGCCCACCTGTGCCATCATAGGAGACGGACTGAAAGATGGCATGGAGAGACTCCATGACATGATCCTTAAACGGAGAAAGATGCTCCGCCAACAGAAGAAAAAGAGATGATCAAGCAGTGAACTGAATCTCTTGTTTTAAATGAAGGACACAAGGAGATGTTCTCGCACCTGGGTGGATATAGGAGTTCTCCCACAGGCTTGGCACACTGAGTTTTATCAGTCAATGTTAAACTGTAGGTATATCGTGTCTCAGACAGCAAAATGTCTTACTTCATCTTAAGTATTTCTTGCATTTTAGTGGTTGAGAAAGCACTATGAAGGTAAAGGATTTGGGGTTTATGATTAAAGAATGGTTTTGATCCTTGGTATTAGACCATTAGTAATGGATATTTCAAAATCGAATACCAAAAATGACATGAGTTTGATGAAGAACAGAAAGAATATGTCACCTTTCTCTACAAAGGTTAGTGGAAGGACAACAAACACGGTCTTCCTCAAAGGGAACTTTTGAACCTTGTAAGCTACTTTTAAATGTTTTCTTCCTTCTCAAAAGGAAGGTACAGTCTTGCGCTTTTTGTCTGTCTAGTGTCTGTCTGTTTGTTAATGCACTTTAGATGACCTTTTTTGATGATGGAGTTTACAGCCTTGATGTTTCCCAATAGAGCTTATTACACATAAAGTTTAGTTGCATCAAAAGAAGCCAACTGTAATATGCTACTGTACTGGGTCCCTATTGGCCACATGGACAATAGATGGGATATGTTTTTCATGTTTTCATCTTTAATAAAGCCTCTTTACAGCACTGCTTTTGTTTTGTATGAAGGATATATTGCTATTTTGATTATTTGTCATAATATTTTTTGAGAAGTTCCGCAGATCTGATAAGCCTGATGAGATGTTTAAAATGTATGTCCTCTGATTCTCATATTTGAAAGACACTGAAGTAAATCAAAATGAATCTTGGTTGCTCATGCTCACACTTTGTACTGATGGATAATGAATCTCCCTTATTTCTCTTTCTGAAAGTAAACAAGACGCATATGATTGAGGTGATGGTGGTTGAGTGTTTACTTGCAGTGTGATTATAGGGCCTGGAGTCCTTTTATGTTTTCTGGAGCCAAGAGGCTCAGTAATGCAGTCAGGGCAGTCTACTTTGTGTACGCCAGGCCAGACGACATACCCTGTACAACAGGCTGGGGCAGGAGGGGGCTGGGGAGGCAGAGCATTTTTGTGATGGGGAGAGGCTGTTGTCACATAGCTCAGTGAAGTGATGCCTGTTGCTCACCCATCCCTTTAGAACAATTGTAACCCTGTACTGTAGAGCAACAGGGGGGAGCAACAGTTGACCTACTAAATATAGTGCTATATTTACATATGTTTCCCCTGTTGTTCTGTTCTTTACAATGCTCCACTTCAAGTGCAGAATTTGCTCTTGGTTCACCAGACATATTTGACAAAATTATTAGACCTGGTTGTAATGGTCCTGTATGTTATAGATGCCATTTCAATGTCATTTCTTTCCTAATTCAAATGATATTAGTAATATTAAACCTACACCACATTTTACAATGTCTATCTTTGATTGATATGCATCAGGTTTCAAAGAAAGACAGTACTGCCCTCAGGTCCACGATTAATGTTGAGGTGTCACTCCTTGTCTGTGTTGAGCAACTCTTCCCAGTTTGTTTTCCAAGGAAGGAAACCCTGTTGGATGGCAGCAACATATTCCCGCTATTCCCACTTCCTGCTCTCCGTTCTAGGAAAGGGAAAGGGAGGTCTTGGGAGTGAGTGTGAGTCTGATCATGGGACTGGTCACTCCTTATCCCTGTTTTGGGGTCAGATCCTGATACGGGCCTGGTGGCAGGGTCTCTTCCCTTTGATCCGCTGATGTAATTAACTAGGGATTAGGATTGGACATAGCTTTGGAAATCCTCAAGTTGGTTCCCTTTCCCACACTGCTTTTGCTGACTCAATTATAAACTAACATGGAAAAGTAATATTCATGGACTGTAATAGCCGTCGTCACATGATATCCCTGTGCCCAACTAGTTTCCTGGACATCTAGGTGGTGGTTTTATTTGACCGCTTAGCCCTAGCTGAGGTCAGCTCGGTGACGATAGTAAGTCCCTCTCCTCAGTAACAGGATAACTGTAGGGAAGGCATTGTCTCACGTCTGCACTGGCAACTGTGAGTCGCGTTAGGAAGACAATGGTAGGAAAGGAGAAAACCACTCCTCATTCCACTAATCTACTAGCTAACCTTGAGATTAGGCATGTCATGCTTCAACTCACTTTCTCAAAATGCAAGGAAATGTACATCAAGTCTGTCTCCTGGAGCAAGTCAGAATAAAATATTTTTTGGGAAATGTTTTCTCTACCTGTGTAATAAAAATATATTTTCTCTAACTGTGTATACATTTTCAAGCTGTGTACACTGTACTCAAGGGAAGTAGCAATAATGCATAATCCTCTCTGCTGCTTATTATGCAGGGTTATCATAACAGGATTCATCTTTCTTTTTCCTGTCTTAGCGAGCGAGTGGCCTATTTACATGTGAATTCTTCTAGCGTTCTAGCAGCCTCTCTGAAAGTAGGGTGAACGGGGCCACCTGCAAGGGGAAAGAAAAGGGGAAGGAAAGACAGACAGAGAGAACTCTAGAGAAGCTTGCTCTTGCTCTTCATTGGTGTAAGGAAGCTCTCTTTCCATTAATCCTCAGAGGCATGAAAAGAGAGACTGAGAAAAAGTTAACAGGACCAGATGGGCGTATAACAGGGTTCCCCAACTGGTGCCCCGTGGGTGATTTTATTTGGCCCCCATGTTTTCTGAGCAAAAAAAAGAATAGACTGCAAACACCAGCAAATCAGATCCAAGCTGATCCATCCGCTCAAGAAAAAGTCAGCCTGCGGCTTAATCTAGTTGATGATCTCTGGCGTATAATCTATCGTTGGTCCCATAGATCCATTAATTAGCCTATTCATTAGGGATTATAACTTTCTGTATCATTGTTCCTATTATGATTGGTGTTCCTGGAAGTTATCAATTTAATATTCTGGGTCTTGGAAGTCATGGGAATTAAAAACCAATAACCATTGTCTTGTCCTTGCTGTTGTTGCTTATGGTGATTCTTTTGAAAAAATATTGCTCAGTTGGTTTGGATATCGTGCTGGCAATGTGAATATGATTCTATTATTCCTACAGAGTATCTGGGCTGTTTTGCTATGCATAGAAGTCAGTGCTGCCTGCATGTTCATGTGATGGCATCCCCTGCCTTACCCTGTGTGGAAGACTCTGAAAGGCTCATTGTCAAGGTGATGATTGCTTTGTCAGCTCTGTGACTGAGAGGGCTTGAACGTCGGCAGCTGTGACCTGAATGGGAGAATGTCTATGTGAGAGAGGGGGACAGAGACAGAGAGATGATGTGTAGATTACTTTGTCATTCTCTCTGCCATTTGGCCATACACACACACACACACACACACACACACACACACACACACACACACACACACACACACACACACACACACATACACATATAGTGTGTATAAAAAAACTCCCACCAGTCTAGTCATTGTGAGGCACAAGCCTGTGAAATCTGGCTTTCGTCTCGTTTGTGCATGAAGGATTAGGACAGGGGCAGACTGAGGTCCCCATAGCTTTGTAGTGGCTCCATTGTCTGGTGGCAAACGTCAGAGAAAGTTGTGACCTGTAAAGCAAGGGTTCAACTCAAATGACTGATTGTTTTGGTGAGGGGATGCTGGAAAAAATATATTTTGATGGCGGCAGCTCAAATCTAGATAGGCAAGTTATGAAGTATTTTTCCAATTATTGTGTCTCTCCCCAACTTGTTTACTTTGAACTCACACAAACCAAAAGGAACACAAGAAACCACAACCACAAAGTGAAAACAGACAGTTTAAATATGGCTCCCAATCAGAGACAACCAGAAAACAGCTGACACTCGTTGCCTCTGATTGGGAGTCACTTAGGGCAACACAGAAAACAACAACCTAGAAAACCCAACATAGAAACAACCCACACAGAACGAACACACCCTGGCTCAACATACAGAGTCCCGGAGCCAGAGCGTGACAGTACCACCCCCTAAAGGCGCGGACTGCGACCGCGCCTCAAACGTAGCAAAACAGGGGAGGGCTGGGTGGGCATACTTCCTCGGTGGCGGTTCCGGTTCCGGGCTTGACCACCACCCCTCCATAATCCCCCCGTAGCGCCCCTGGTCCGGTCTGACCCCGCTGGCTGGATCTGGACTGGACATCGACGGAGCAGATTGCTTAAGCTCCGTTGTGGAGCAGCTGACCTGTACCTGATCAGGCACCGGACTGACGACGCGCACCCCTGGCTTGGCGCGTGAGGCAGGAACGGACCGGACCTGGCTGACGATGCGCACCCCTGGCTCGGTGCGTGGAGCAGCAACGGACCGGACCGGGCTGACGATACGCACCCCTGGCTTGGCGCGTGAGGCAGGAACGGACCGGACCTGGCTGACGATGCGCACCCCTGGCTCGGTGCGTGGAGCAGCAACGGACCGGACCGGGCTGACGATACGCACCCCTGGCTTGGTGCGTGGAGCCGGAACGGGCCTCACCGGACTGACTACTCGCATCCCTGGCTTGGTGCGAGTAGCAGGAACAGGCCGGACCGGGCTGGCGACGCGCACCGTAGGTTTGGTGCGAGTGGCATGAACAGGCCGGGTCGGGCTGGCGACGCGCACCGTAGGTTTGGTGCGAGTGGCAGGAACAGGCCGGGTCGGGCTGGCGACGCGCACCGTAAACTTGGTGCGGGTGGCAGGAACAGGCCGGACCGGGCTGGTGACGCACACCGTAGACTTGGTGCGTGGAGCAGGGACAGGCCGGGCTGGGCTGACGACGCGCACCACTGACTTGGTGGGAATGGCAGGAACAGGCCGGACCGTACTGGGGACACACACCACTGGCCCCACGCAGGGATCAGGAACGGGCCGGACCGGACTGGTAACACACCCCAGTACCTCTCGCCGTGCCTCCACACTTTCCCTCTCCTCTGTGCCCAGTGGCCCCCCTAACCTGGCGGCCTTCTCTGCCAACGCTTTGCACCACTCTAACCCGTACAC